GTTCATAATCTTGAAAGAATGCACATATCTCAAGATTAGGCGGAAGTGACCTATCCTGTATAATTTTCACTATGGCGCACGAGTGAATGCTTCCGAAAGTACGCATTTTGAGGTGTGGCATATAGTAAAAATGTTATTGCGAAACTCGTAAATTTTAACATTATCGCAATTTACAAAAAAAACTGCAGGGTTTATCGACAAGAACCTTTTAGAATTGGATTCGATTTTAAGATTTAAATCTTAAAAATATATAAGTATTTTTAGCTTAGCGAGGTATACAGTGAAACTAAACGTTTGAGGGCACTAGCTCACGGCTTATGACTGCAGGAGAACGTTTCGCAGTGAAAAGCAATGACTGATATATGATAGTTAAGCAATTTGCTGTCAGTTGATGGTCACAGTATGTTAGATAGGAAGTGAATGACGTCAGTAGCGCATAGCCAGGGTTTACAACTGTAATACAACTGACGTAATACAAACAAGACGCATGAAAGAGTTTGTGATGTATAATAAGATGTGTTATGTCGCCTGCAGTTTGCAAAGTATGCAAAAAAACGCATGTGTAAATATAAACAGAATTTTTGTTCCTTAAAAATACTGCAGTATAGCTTAAAAATACTACATGTTGTCAAATGCACGGACTAGTGTTTTAAATATCAATGCGTTTATATATAACTAAGCGTGTTTCTTAAAAACGAAGCAAACTCATAAAAACATATCATAGGCTATTTATTAAATGCACGGACTCATGGTGTTTTAAGTATCAATGCGTATATATAAACCGTCTTTCTTAAAAATGAAGCAAACTCATGAAGACATATCATATTTAAATGCACGGACTGGTGTTTTAAATATCAATGTGTTTATATAACTAAGCGTGTTTCTTAAAAACGAAGCAAACTCATGAAGACATATCATGCATATTTAACGGACTGGTGTTTAAAATATCAATGCGTTTATATAAACCGCGTTTCTTAAAAACGAAGCAAACTCATGAAGACATATCATATTTAAATGCATGGACTGCGGTGTTTTAAATATCAATGCGTATATACAAACCATGTTTCTTAAAAACGAAGCAAACTCATGTAGACATGATAATATTTAAATGCACAGTCTGGTGTTTTAAATGTCAGTGCGCGTTTATATAAAGCAAACTAAGCGTGTTTCTTAAAAACGAAGCAAACTCATGAAGACATATCATATTTAAATGCACGGACTGGTGTTTAAAATATCAATGCGTTTATATAAACCGCGTTTCTTAAAAACGAAGCAAACTCATGAAGACATATCATATTTAAATGCATGGACTGCGGTGTTTTAAATATCAATGCGTATATATAAACCATGTTTCTTAAAAACGAAGCAAACTCATGTAGACATATAATATTTAAATGCACGGTCTGGTGTTTTAAATGTCAGTGCGTTTATATAAAGAGTCAAAAGCGCGTTTCTTAAAAACGAAGCAAACTCATGAAGTCATATCCAGGCGTTATAGTAAGCCTGTACTCGTGAATTAAAATAAGATTAAGTTTCATCTCTTCATCATTCTTTTGACACTGCAGATGACAGATTGTGAATCCTATCACCGCGGCATATACCGTCGGTGAATATCCTAATAATGAGATCATGTTTCTTTTGGCACTGCAGGTGACGAATCGGTATTCGTATTTACCGGTGGTTAAAACATTTTTACCATTCGTTGCGTACCGTAATATTGGATATGTATGACAAACCAGGGATGACAACTGAAATGCGAAATTTCTGCTTACAAGAAACCAATTGTTTGAGAAAGGAACTTCTGGCTTTTCTGTGATCTGCATCATGTGGAAGTGAAATCAAATTGAAATACGAAAGGCACATTTGTTGCAGTAACTGCTTTAAGGTTTGCAAATGCTTAACTTGTGCAACAAATAAGGAGTTACAAATCCAAACTGATAGAAAACTATGCGAAGAACCTGAGCCCCAGCCTGTTCGCCTTGTTACAGATGAGCAGCGAGTACGTATACAGGCATTACTGAAGAAATACAGAATTGAAGCTGGCAAATCTGGTGCAAACTTTGGAGGAATTGACATCAGTACTGGGTTAACAATAGAACTTATAGACTTAATTGTTTCAAAATGTGACAAGATCAATTCAGCTGAAGAATTGTTTGCTGAATTTGAAATGTTTGACATCACACATGCACAAGCATTTTTTAAAATTATCAGTGATGTTTGTAATGCTTAACCCATTGAGTTCCATTGTGCCCTTAATGTGCCCTACTAATTATATTGACATACTACTTTACTCTAATGCCAGATGATTTTACTTATCAACGAGAGTGCTGGCATCTACTGTAAAAGGTTAACTGCACTCATTCACTCATACAGGTATAAAGTGCAGTGAAATGTATCTCAAAACTAATCGTAATCATAGCCAATAGAATCCTTGGAAGAGGAGAGAGCTATGTGTCTAGTTAACCCACCGATGAGCTATACTTTATTATTTTACTCTGTGTGATGCCAAACAAGTTTATTCGTCAAATGGAGAGCACTGGCACTTAATAGGTTAATTGCATCCAAATTATAAATATGTGTAAAATATTAAAAGTAAGTCTTGTATGACTGTTTACGATAATACTACATGTACTAAACACAGTGTAGCAGTGCAGTACCAGCTGCAGTAAATTAACAGATTTAATGACGTATAATATAATATCACTAAAACTTTAAATAATCGTCTGTAAAAATTGTAGCATTATACATTCAGTGTGCACTAGGAATTGAACCCAGCAAAACAAGATAGTTTTCCCACATGGACACACTTGTATCAGTGTTATAAATGTTTGCTCATGCAATACAAACATGCCACGTGAGTCATGAAATGAGTAAGAATGACATGATTACTGAAAAAGAGAGAAATACAATGTTATTGTGAACAGTTAGAATTGTATAACTGTAACATTCTGGTTGATTGTATACATTGTAAAATATTGTAACTGCAGTTGTTTATAGTCTCACTCATTGATGAGGCCTAATAGTGAAAGCAATTGTAAATAGTTGATTTCAGTATATTATGATATATAAATATGACATGTACAGTAATTCAAAGTGAATTATGTTATAATTAAATATTAGGACAATATGTGAGTTTTGATTTCCATAAAATTAACCATTCAGACGACTCCTTATAATTTATATTTTTCATTTGTGTATAGACTATATTTATATATGGTGCCAGTGTTACTAAAATAAGGCAATATTTCAAAGTAATCTTTATAAAATATATGTATTCGGAGGTGAATTGTTTGTATTTCAACTGTGATCTCACATATACATTTTCATGCAATTGTCAATATACATAAGAATGATTCAAAAGTTGAATAAAAGATCAGAAGTACAAGCAGCTGAGTTTTTTAAAGCTCGGAACAGCGTATTAAATGTGGAACAGGTATTAACAATAATTGTAAATACTCACCCTTTCCAGTTTTCTAACAATTCTTGAACATACAAAATTTGAGATATTATCCTTTCATCATTCAACCACATTTCATAACAACATTGTTTACGAGCATCTGCATAAATATCTTATACAATTGAGCCATTTCATGCCATAAATCATGTCTAAATTCTGTGCCATAAATGATGCCACATCGATCAAATAGAATGAGCGATTCAATGAATAACGGAAACGGAACAGTAGCCTGCGACCAGGCTGTTCTTGCTAATTGATAACCCCCCCGGGGAAAAAATAACTTATTACGTAATGCTCTGCAGCCTTTGCCAGGGTTCTCTTCAGCCCACGGCCACAGAAAGAGAACCCTGGGTACGAGGTTGGTACCTGGAAACAATAAAGGGTTTTCCCAGAACTGCCTCGTTTCTGTGCAATGACCGCTATATATAGCTGGAATAACTTGATCATTGATTTTCGCTTTTCCCAGGAATATGTTTTATTTAAAATCAGGCGGTTAGCGCGAATATAGCCAGTTAGCCAGCGTGGCCGGCTCTTTTGAAGGAGAGCCTGCCCGGTGTCACAGAAAATTCCACCCCCCCGAAAATTTGCCCTCCCCTGGGCCAAATTTCCTAGGAAATATGGCCTCCCCTTTGGAAATTTGGCCCCCCTCTAAAAAATTATAGTTTACTTTATCTTTTAGCTCGGAAATCGTGAAGCTTCTAGTAAAACCAAATTTCTAGAAATTTTTCTCAACATTTATAGTTACTTTGCGTAATTTTTTTGTGTCAAAACAAAATTCTGCACTGAATTGCAATACTGACGAGAATTAGGCCAGGAGAATTGCTTACAACACTGACGGAGTTTATGTAGCTGGATGTAACCTTTGTTTTTCTGCGTGTTTGCGGAATGTTTTTGTGAGTCTTCCAAACCTTGTGCTTTTATGTCTGCGGAATATTTTGTTAGCCATTCAAACGTTTGTATTTTTCTGTGTGCGGAATGTTTTTGTGAGCCATGAAGCATACAGTCTACTTCCGTTTTTACGGAATGCTTCTGTAATACATCCCAATCATATGAGCGATTATCATGGGCGTACCGGAAGGAAAAAATTAGGGGGGCGGAAAGAAAATTGCCCGACTTTTCGTGATTTTGCCCGACTCGTACTAAAAAATTTTTCGACCTCCCTCCCCCCGGCGCCAAAAAAATTTCGGTCAGTGTATCATTTAAGGGGTCAAAAAAATTTTCCGGACGTACCAAATTTTTCGGAGGATCACATAAATTTTCCAAAAAACTACATTTGCCACAAAACTGGCTAAATTTCTGAAAAAAATTACAGAATTTGTCCGATTTTTTTTTTTTAACAACCCAAAATTGCCCGACTGTTAATCGAATATTGCCCGACTGCCAAAAAAACTGGGGGGGCTGCCGCCCCCCCCCCGCCCGGTACGCCTATGGCGATTATATATACTGTGTACTGTGTACTGATGTAAGTAAAATGCATAGGAAAAGTTTTTTTTACGAAATAACCACTCATTTGATTTTGTTTTTCGAACAAACGTTTACTACGATGGCCCACAAGGGACATGCAAACTTAAACAAAGTCGGTGCAAACTTAAACAAAGTCGGTGCAAACTTAAACAAAGTCGGTGCAAACTTAAATAAAGTCGGTGCAAACTTAAATAAAGTCGGTGCAAACTTAAATAAAGTCGGTGCAAACTTAAATAAAGTCGGTGCAAACTTAAATAAAGTTGGTGCAAACGTAAATAAAGTCGGTGCAAACTTAAATAAAGTCGGTGCAAACTTAAATAAAGTCGATGCAAACTTAAATAAAGTCGGTGCAAACTTAAATAAAGTCGGTGCAAACTTAAATAAAGTCGGTGCAAACTTAAATAAAGTTGGTGCAAACGTAAATAAAGTCGGTGCAAACTTAAATAAAGTCGATGCAAACTTAAATAAAGTCTGGTGTCTGTAAAAGCCGGAACCCCACCCGAAACATACGGAACCCACCCGGAACACCCGGAACCCCGCCCAGAACACGCTGGAATACGAGCTATGAAGCAATTCACGTGTTTCTGTATAAATTCACGTGTTTCGCAATTCGGGGTGATGGGTTGTTACGATCTTTACTTTTTACTTATATTGTTGTTCTTTTAAATCATTTTTCGCATGGGCAAGGGTAAATAATTATATTATGTAATGCGGTATATGATATACAAATAATGAATGTTTATGAGTGCAATGGTAAGAATATTTTCATTCGGTGAAAGATGGAATGTTACATTGAACGAGGCGACAGCCGAGTTGAATCTAACATTCCATCTTTCACCGAATGAAAATATTCTTTCCATTGCACTCATAAACATTCATTATTTATTTTATATAATACCAAAATAGACTAATAGATTCGTATGAGAAGCATTTTGACGGATGCGATTTATCGAAAACATAAAGAGTGCAATGGAATAAAACGTATAGTACAATTGTACTCGCGAAGAGTGCAATGGAACGTATTCCATTGCACTCTTGGGAAATGAAATTTTCTATTCAACATCACGTGACCATAAACAGCCAATTAAACGATCAGAATTCAATAAGGTATTATATAATATCAAATATAGGAGTTTTGCTTGTTTGTAAACGTGCAAACAAAGTTTCGCTCGAGGCTTTTAATTTGCTGCATGTACTATACTTTTCGTTTACTATATTTTGCCGTACTATATGTATCTGTGACTCTATTCTTGGGTTTCATATGACGTCACAAAAGTGACGGGGGGTCAACTTTAAAACAAAATCGTTTTATGTGTTAGCCTTGCATGTGTTTAATGGCAAATACGTGAAATTTTGTATCGTTTTCTCACTCAAGTACAGCATAAGCACCAACAATTCTAAATTTACTTGAACAATAGCCAATATTTAACTTTGCTATAAATATAAAGCACGAGGCAAAACGTTCATGTTACTTCAATAAATAAATATTGTATTTATATTAAATCAAGGACTGTGTCTGTGTATATCTATTGTTGAAGTAACATGAACGTTTTTTTTGCCTGGTGCTTATATCTATGACACCAGCTTGTTGATTTGGTTGTTAACGTTTTCAATGACAAATGAATGTTTTGTGAATTTCTACCAATTCATATAATGTATTAGCTATACTTGCTGTAATAATAGTTTAATATTCCGAGGTCTCGCGGATGCACTTTTACTGTAGTCTGTAGGCTGCAGCCATTGTTATACAAAACAGCATCTAAATTACTAAAACGCCTTTCAAAGTTAAAAAAAAAACGAGTAAATCTAGTAAAGAAATCCATGAAAAATTTCCCAAACCCAGGAAATTCGAATTTGGTAAAATATCTCAATACGGACGAACTTTATAATTACTTTAAATTGTTAATGTCGTTTCAGACATACAGTTGCAAGTCAAAGTAACCATATGCAAACATATTATTCAAATAATAAAAAAGATAGCAAAGTTAAATATTGGCTATTGTTCAAGTAAATTTAGAACAGAGTCACAGACACATAGTACGGCAAAATATAGTAAACGAAAAATGTAGTACATGCAGCAAAAGCCTCGAGCGAAACTTCGTTTGCACGTTTACAAGCAAGCAAAACTCATATATTTGATATCATATAGCCTACTGCCTGACATAATATAATTATTTACCCTTGCCCACGAAAAAAAATATTTAAAAAAACAACAATAGAAGTAAAAAGTAAAGATCGTAACGGCCCATCATCATGAATTTAATGCGAAACACATGAATTTATATAGAGAAACACGTGCATTGCTTCATAGCTCGTATTCCAACGTGTTCCGGGTGGGGTTCCGGGTGGGTTCCGTGTGTTCCGGGTGGGGTTCCGGCTTTTACAGACGCCCGACTTTATTTAAGCTTGCACCGACTTTTTTTAAGTTTACACCGACTTTATTTTCGTTTGCACCGACTTTATTTAAGTTTGCACAGACTTTTTTTACGTTTGCACCGACTTTATTTAAGTTTGCACCGACTTTATTTAAGTTTGCACCGACTTTATTTAAGTTTGCACCGACTTTTTTAAGTTTGCATGTCCCTTGTGGGCCATCGCAGTTTCCACTTAAAAGTCTACTTTTACCCTTTTGCATTCACTCCCTGTTATTTATTACACGCGCGATATTAACATATTCGCCAACGCATGATGTCATTGTTTGCTAAAGTGCAGTTGTTATTCTGACTAATTTTACACTATGTGACTGAATTTTGTAGATCTAAATAATAAAGCTGAGGACACAAAACGAGTTTTAGAGAAAAATCGTTTCGTGTCCTCAGCAGGGGCGTAAATGTGGGGTGTGGGGGTTGTTTCACCCCCCCCCCCCCCCCCCCCCGGTCTCAAACTTCGTGCAGTCGGTCTCAAAATTATGCGTTTGTTTACACGCAGTGTTTTGCGAAGCAAATGAAATATTTTCGAAACTCGAGATAGACTCGAACTATTGAGTCCGCGAGTTGGAAAAGAAGGTGAACCCATCGCTGAACTCACAAAGTTGGGGTGGTTTATTACTTCTCCAGGACAGGAGTTTGACCATAATAACATGATGTTAACCCAGACCTCTCAGTCAGATTATGAGGAACTATGCCGACTAGATGTACTAGGACTGCCTGACACAGCAGAGCACGACCAAAGTGAAGTTTGCAAGGAGTTTAAGGAGCAGTTACAGCGATCTCCAGAGGGCTGGTACACAACCAGTCTACCTTGGAAAGAGAATCACCCTCCCCTTCCTACAAATGAGAAAGGAAGCCTTCGGCGTCTCACATCCCTGCAGAATCGTCTTCTCAAAAAGGGACTCTTCGAACAGTACGATGCTATAATCGAAGACCAAAAGGTTCAAGGAATTGTTGAGGAAGCACCAGCAAAACCTGAGAACAGGGAGAGTTACATACCCCACAAGGAAGTGGTGAGAGAGGCAGCGACATCTACCAAACTGCGTGTAGTATATGACGCATCAGCGAAAGCAACCCCAGACAGTCCTTCACTTAACGATTGTCTTTATCCCGGACCCTCCTTGCAGAATAAACTCTGGGCAGCTCTCGTACGACAAAGAACCCACCCAGTGGCCTTGGCAGGTGATATTAAACAAGTTTTTCTGCAGATACGCATCAACGAGACAGAGAGAGATGCTCTTCGCTTTCATTAGAGACGAAGAAATGACGAAATCCAGATCCTACGGTTTACTAGGGCGCTGTTTGGACTAGCACCATCACCATTTCTTCTCGGTGGCGTCCTGGAAACACACCTGGATATGTGGAAAGAGAAACGACCCAACGATGTTGAAGAGATTAGACGCAGTTTGTACGTTGACGACATTCTCAGCGGTGGTGAAACAGTTCAGCAAGCACAAGAGTAGCCTGCTCACAGGCTCTATTGCCTGACAACGGCCTGCGAGCAGGCTAGCACAAGAGCGAAAGGAAGCTGCCATAACTATACTTGATGATGCCAGATTCTCACTTCATAAGTGGGCATCGAACGAAAACGACCTTGAAGACGAACCAAAACTGCCAACCAGCGATGAAGACCAGACGGCTGCAAAGATGAATTGAATTGAATTGAATTTATTACAAAATCTGAATGGCAGCTAAGAGCTGAATTGTACAGAGTTGACATTTAAAATACATGGTAAAACTAATACATATAGTAATATACGGTATACTAGAAAATACATGCATGCAGAAACCCTCGCCTTGCTGACAAAACTATTTTATTTTCCGAACGTGAAGTATTTTAAGTAGTTGTCATGGTAACACGATCATTTTTTAAGAATATTTTTACAAATGAAAAATCCCGTATAAATATCACTTTTAATTACAAAATTATCAATTTCCTAAACATATATATGTTAGGTATGTTATTATACGTAATATAAGCTTGAATTTAAGGTAAAATTCAACCACAAACGCTTCGCAAAACGTTTTAAAATGTTCTTTTACTATAGAACTAAACTGCCTTTATCGATAAACTTTGAGTTCGAAATAAAATTATTCCAAATTCTCCCATGCAAATAACTTTGCTTAGTATAATACAAAGAGTAATCAATAAAGAAACACTGAAATAATACGCTGTCTTGTTTCATATTTATACACAACGATCGGCTTTTAAAGTAATTACAGTAGGCATGTTATTATACGTAATATAAGCTTCAATTTAAGGTAAAATTCAACCACAAACGCTTCGCAAAACGTTTGAAAGTGTTCTTTTAATATAGAACTAAACTGCCTTTATCGATAAACTTTGAGTTCGAAATAAAATGATTCCAAATTCTCCCACGTAAATAACTTTGCTTAGTATAATAAAAAGTGTAATCAATAAAGAAACACTGAAATAATACGCTGTCTTGTTTCATATTTTATATACGCAACGATCGA